ACTGCCTTGACCTTCTGCCGTCTGGAAACTGCGCAACGCGCGCAGCGCGTTTCATATGATTTACGCGCGCGCGTTGAAGGCCAGCCCCCCAGAGGGATCGGGCACGCAAAACGAAGCCGCGACGCTTCTGCGGTGCGGAACGACATGCGCTCGGCAAAAATGTGGTATGATGGCGCCGCAGTGCGCGCCGCGCGTTTGGCAACCCTGACGCAGTGCATCGAAGCCGCGAGGCGGCACGCCACATCGTTTCGCGCAGCGGCGCGATTTTGGGCGAAAGGGGGGCGGGGGCGGCACTGCTACGACATGTTCGCGTTCTCGAAGAATGGCCACTGGGCCCACCTCAAGGCGAGGTTGTCCAGAAAACTCGCGGGGGCATCTCCTGAGCTACTCGGAAATGTATAAGATGGTCACGCACTGCGTCCTGGGGTGTTTGGTGTCTCGCAGATGGACGGTAGACATATCCCGGGGTATTTTGAACTTTCAGAGATGGCCACGGGGGGGGGCACTTGAAAACATTACACATTTCGCAAACGGCATGGAGGTAACGTTGGAGCATTCTTGAAATTCGCACACTGACTTGGGATCTATTTAGGGTGTTTCTAAACTTCGCAAGTGGCATTGGCGCATCCTTGAAGTATTTTGAAATTTCGCATATTGCACTGGCGCATGTATGGAACATTTTGCAGTCCCGCAGATGGTGCTGGAGCATCTTTGGAGCATTCTGAAATCTCGCAAGTGGCGCTGGAGTATCACTGGAGCAGTTTCATTTGCGGGACGCATTATGTGCGTATTTGAAACCGGCGAGTTGCATTGTTGGCGCATGTTGAGTGCACGTTGCGCATGACTCCCCCCAGTGGAATATTTGGCGTCGTCGGCGAGTGCGCAACATCCTACGCGGGGGCATGTTGTTAACTCGCGGGGCGTGTCGGACACTCGCTCCGGGCATCCGAGGTGCTACTGCTGCGCGGCGGCGACGCTTGTCTTTGCTCTGGGTGCCCTGACGGCGCCGGCGACGATCGGGGCCCGCCGCAGGCTCCTGGCCCTGCTGTGCTACGCGCGCGCTGGGCCAACCGACTTGCGCAAGTGAGTACATGTATATAGACGCGCGCACGTATGGAAATGGGCATGTCTTTCTGCCCCGGAGGAATGCGCCGCGTTCGGCCCGACACGATCCGCGCAACCACCTTGCCGACCCAATGGGGTAAATATTAATGTTTATGCGCTTGTAAGTCTATCTGCACATGTGCACATGTAGCTCTAATCGCACCTTGCCCCGTCCCACGCCTAACTAATTGTGCCCTTGTCCACTCTACCCCGCCACAACGGCACATGTAACCCTCCTCTTGTTATAAAAACTGGTGAATCTCTATATGCCATCTCTGCGCCGACTCCAATTTTGCCCTAGTCGGAACTGGCTCCAAACCTTATCCTGCGCCCAAGTGCGCTCAACCTGGCTCGCGGACAACCTCCACTCCACTCCTACCGCCCTCCATCTGCACTCGTACCCCACTCATATGTACCCGATGGTGGCATCGAAGGGGTTGTGCCTTGTGGACTGTGCCTCGCACGATATGTCCCGCGTGATTGCCGAAAGAGACCCAGTGGTCGAGCGTGGGAAGCGCCGGCCTTCGCGAGCCACTCTGATTGACAATGGAGCACGGTGGGGAAGGCGCGCAAGGGCGGCGCGCAGGAGCGAAGGGGTAAAAGGGCAGGAATACTGGAGGTTTGCAGCGAGAACTTGAATGCCAGCGGCCACACAGACTGATCGGGAGGCTTTTGTAGATGTGCGTTACAAGATGGGAAGAAAACGGATATCCAAATCTGCAATGCAATTGTCGGCTGCCCAGAAGGTACTCGTCGAATTGCTGGCGCCGCGCGCCATCCAATCCGAATGGTAGCGCGCGGTCCACCCTCATTGCGCTCGTTGTGCAAGCCACCTCGCCATATACCCGCGCTTCTGCTAGAACGCGAAAACGCGCGCTGCCGGAACCATGTGCGGCGAAACCGACAGTGGCGGCCTCACGCGGCGCAGCATGCTTTCCAACCGCGTGTATCGCACGTGTGCCTAGCCAGTATCCAGGAAACGATGTCCTGCGCACGCCTGGAATATTTTGTACGTGGCATGAGGCATCGCCACAATACTATTTTTGGACAGCTGTTCAATGTTCAGCCTGTAGAGGGGCACGCCCGACTTAAAGATAGCCGCTGGCCCATGCTGACCTGGGGCGGCCGCATGAACTTCTGCATGCGCTTCAAGTTGGACACGGGCTTGTTCGGGTCGCACTTGCGGCTGATTTCCCGCCGGGCGTCGAGCCCCCTGTTCTTCTTCGTGCCACTAGCGGTGTCGAGTGCCGTCGTGCCCATGGTAGTAGGCTCGTCAGCACCACGTGGAGTTGCTTGTTGATGCCCTGTGCTCTGGTTTGCCTCGCCTGGACCTCGTCCAGCTTCTTTGGGTCGCCACCTCCTCACCGATACCAGCCGCCCAGTCCACCACGTCCTCGGCATCAGCGAACTCCCCGCTGGTCCAAGTCGAAAACGCGTAGCTCTAGCCAGGCCTGTCGGCCTCCTTGCTGGAAGGGAGATGCAGGCTGTTTGACCGCCTTCGCGCTGATAATCCCCTGCCTCCTGCGCACCGCGATTTGGGCAACCATGAGCCTGTCTTGCTGCTGCAGCGCGGCCTGAACCGCGCTGGTTTGCTCCCGAACCTGCGCGCACACAGCGCCTATCGCCTCATTCGTCCTCTCCTGCGTCTGCAGCAGCGTGCTGGCAAACTAAGCGAAGGCCTGCATCACCTGCTGCTCGCACCTGAGCGCTAGCCTCTCTCAGCGCACTCAAAACAACCCAACCATGGCCGTTGGCGGGTGTAGATTGGGTGGAGCGCTAGCCGCACTCTGCCACCATGACTCAGCCATTTTTTCTCAACCGCAGAAAGGCTGCGGACGCGTGGGATCTCGTCGCATGACAGAGCATCGAGGGTCTGAAGCCTCTTTGGCACACTCCTCAGCGAACGCCCCCACCGTACCAAAAAAACCCGTCAGGATGTATGACAATCAGGCCGTCCTGCACTGCACGGATCCCGGGGGAGCCAAAAGGTACTGATACCGCGTTCTGACCAGGATTTCAAGGAAAATCCAGCAGTGTTGACGAGGGCGCGGCGCCAATGAGGCTCAAAAAGGACAACGGCAGGAGGACTCCGACTATACACACCTGCACCGATCCTGGCCAGCACCACCCTGGACCCAGGATCGGTGCTCAGAACCGAATCGATAAGCCGGATCGGCGATCGAAACGAATCGGATCGGCGCAAATCAGCAGCGGAAATAGGAGAGGTCCAGTCGGCGAAAATCGGCAGGTTAGGCCTCCGTGACGATGTCGCAGTCCAGATCGGAATCAGAAGTCGAATCGAATCGGGATCGAAGGAATCGAAATGACCCCTGCTTGGGCAGGAAGGGTGCACCGATTCTGGCTGGCGACTCCGAATGGTGGGGTTTGCAAAGAGATGGTTTGCACACAGCACCCTGGGGGGCACCCATGAAGGCGGGCGGGGACCTAGAACCTGGGCAGAGTTCTCCGCCGCGCCCCGAGGAGGCCCGACGAGGACAGCGTCATGCCATTCGGGCCCCAACGGTGCCGATCGCAAACCACACCCCGGCGTAACTGTACTCTTCGTAGGCTCCGAACTCGGGCAGGAGGGATGCACCGAGCCTGGGCTCGGCTAGACGCAAGAGCTACCAAGCGTAGGAGTGACCTTGGGTGCGCGGCTTTCTGAGGGCCGCGGCGGGGCCACACACAAGCGCGCCAGGCGCTGCTATCGCCTACCGCAACACACTTGGCGATCACGGGGCCCCAGTTTGGACGCCCGATGGACGCCCAAAGTGGGTACGGGAAAAATGGGTACGATGCTCAAAAAACAAATGTTGCCCAAAACCAACAGCCACCGCTGTTGGGCAGGCGGCCTTCTGCCTCAAGTGTACACAGGCCGCGGCGACACCGACAGCGAGTCCTGTTCTAAATGAACTGGAACTGCTGTTGGGCATTGTAACCATCCTTTCCGCACCCATCTCGTTCGTGCCGACCCAGGGGGCGCGCCCCGAAAGGTCACTCGGGCGAAGGGCCACTCCTTCGCGTGGCCAACTGGGCCCGGGCTCGGCCTGACCGAGATCGGCGCGGGCGTGCAGCCCGTGGTGCCCCCCGGGGGGCGGGGCCCTCGAGGGCGGGCCCGCGCCACGCCCCACGCCGAGGGGCGCCGCTGCGGGGCCGGCCTCCCCGGGCACTTCGCTGTGCAGCTGCCCTCCCGACGCTCTGTCGCGCGCCCTCCCCCTCCTGGGGCCGCGCGATCTCGCATGCCGTCGTGCGCCCCCTTCTCCTGCACCGCAGCCCCTTGGTGGCGCCACCCATCGCCAACGCCAAGGTAGTGATTCTCACTCGCGTGCCCGCCAATCTCTTCGCTGAGTTGGGACAACTGGCTGGGAAGCATACAAGGTGTGTGCGTGCGTGTTATGTGTGTGCGCGCTGGGCACTGATAAGGGTAGCCAACGTGGGGGCGAAATATTCTTTGCGCGCGAAAGTTCGTACGCGGAAGGGTGGGGTGTTCGTCCATCTTGGCCATCGGCGGTCGCCTGGTGACCGAGATCGACGTCAACAAGATCCCGTGACACCCTTAACTGGGAAAGTAATTTCGATAGGGTGTGTCCGAATAGCCCACTGGGGGTGTACCACAGACTTAAGTCTTGGTCCCGGGGACGCACTGGGCGGGAGGGAGCGCTACGTTATGGCAGGGGGGGAGGGGGGAGGGGGGGGGAGGCATGACGCGCGTCATGGCTCAGGGGGGAATCATAAGCAAAACAAGCAAATCTCACGGTCGAGAGGCGCCCCATGCCCGCGTCGTCACAAAGGGGCGCTGACACAAAAGCCCGGGGCTGAGTTGGTCATGGTCATCATTTTTTCCCTCGATCGGAAGAGCAGGGAGTAGGCAGGCGCCACGGAGCCCCGCCTTCCTCTCACTGAGGGCCCTTGTACTTCCGGACGAGCTCCCGCCTCCTGACGGGATCCACGCTGTGCCGCACTCCTGCGGGGTGCGGGGAGCTTGCTTCTGTGCGATTAGTTTCGGGGGGGACGTCGAACTCGGGTTCTAGGGACTCCTGTTGGCCTGACGGGGCCGCCAGGAAAATGACAACGTGGTCTCAATCTGAAATTTGACGCGAGCTTCGACTGCAAACAATCCACGGAACCATCCTGTCGAACTGCAAGACGGGCGCGTCACAAAAAAATCGACAAACCTGAGTTCCGGCGAACTCGAGTCGGACGTATACCCGAAGTTCGTTGGGTAGTGTTTACCCTTGAGCGTTTCCCTGTTCCTCCTTCATCTCCCCAATATTCCCTCCTCCCTCGCCCTCTCCTTCGAGCAATAATACTTCTGTGGCAACTCATAGAACACTCCCATGTATTACTGCTTGCTCTTGCGAACCGATGCTAATCGATACGAGTCGGCGTTAATCGGCGCTTTCTCAACGAAAACAAACATTACCTCACGCTGACGCAGTGTGAAAACGGAATTGCAAGGACATACGAGACTCCCATGACCTGCTACCGAATCATTACTCCCCTCGAAAGCCCCCGCGACGCCAACCCGTCCGGAACCCCCCTCGGACCATGGTCTCTGCGGAATCGCGTTTCCGTCCAAAAGCCTCTCGGGCTTGCGGAGGTCATTCAAATTCACGGCCATCTGTAACTGAGTTTTGCCGCGTTCACGAGCATGCCAGACTGGGTTTGAGGGTGGCTGGGGCTTACGAGCCTGAATGTGTTTGAAACCGGATTTGTGCGATGGGGACGTTTCGCCACACATTCGTTGGGCCCTGACTACTCCACCTCCACCTCGTCCTCCCCCGTCCTCCTCGGAGAAACGCTTCGAAAGACCCACTGACCGACCTCACCTCGCACTACCGACCGATACGACTGCATGCTGGAAGGAACGTTTCCAGAAATTTCTCTACAAAAACGTGCCGGAGCACTTCGTATGAGAAAGAAGCTGGATACACGAACGCACGTGACCAGATCCTCGTGAGAAGCATGCGGAGGGCACTCACCACCGATTGGATCCACATGAGGAGAGCCTGCACAATGACCTGGCCATGAGAGAGCCTAGCGATGGAAACGCCTACTGCCACATGTGAATCCAGCTCACGCTCAGGCTGACCACGCCATCTGTACCCAGCTTCCCGATCGGCTTGCAGGGAAGAGTACGCACGCGTCGCGACAAACATCGATTTGTCGGCTCCTCCGCCTCCCAGCTGACGACGTCGACGGTGGCATCGCCCTTGAGCTCTTAGCGGCCTTTCTGGAGGTTCTCGCTGCCACGGCTGGACGCGGCTCGGAAACCTGATCAGCACGGGCCCCCCCGAGGAGTCCACGGACCAACTCGTGGCGGATCCTCTGCTCGTCTGCACCCGGTCCGTTCCACAGTCCCATCCCATCGCCAACGTACACCCTGCGAAATGCTTAAGAAATCATGGGTTAAGAAATTCATAGTCTCAGAACTTGAATTAAAACCCAACGTTTCCATTAAAACCTTGGGATCTACATTGAAACATGAAGAATAATCGAGACTCTGGTCGAAAACTTAAGTTTTCTTAAGCATCGCCTAAGGTGTATGCTGAGGCCCCCGTTTGACGCGTGCCACACCGCGCCGCCCACATCATTCAAATGTGTTGGAAATCGACGGGCATTCCCGCCAGTGCCACGTGTCGAGAACTCATCTCTTGCCGACCGCAGCGCTTGCGCAAAAACTGCTCGAGATGCGATCGCTTTGCGCTCGGCGCAAGGGTCTCAAGGGAACCGGCCCCTGACGACCCTCCCAGAATCGCCCCTTGGGGGCCACGCCTGTTTTGGCGCCCAAATCAAGCCAAAACCGCCTGGTAGTGCTTGCACCGCGATCGGTGGCGTGAGCTTTACCCCGATCGCAAGCCCTCCGAACATTGCAATATCGCCACGGTTCGGTGGCAACTCATGGGAGCCTCCCATACCATCTTGTTGAATCGACGCGAGTCGACGCTAATCGGCGCAGTCGACGCTAATCGACGCTGAATCGACGCTACATCGACGCGATCCCATTGAGTGCCCGGCGCTAATCAATGCTGGTGCACTCTAAGAGCGGAAATTACGAGGGTACACAAGGCTACCATCATTCGCTACCGAAACACCGCGCTCGGTGGCGTGAGCTCAACCCGACCGCAAACCTTCCGAACATTGCAATGTTGCTACTAGGGAAACCAAGAAGTACCGATACTTCTACTCCCCGGACCTCTCCCGGGGTGCGTTCTGACCAGAGTTTCGCTGCGAATCCAGCAGTGTCCCAGGAGGCACAGAAGGCGAAAACAAGGCAAGGTAGCTGTATTTGTACCTTTTCCTCCTTTGAGCCACGGTGCTCATCCCCGACCCCAGCCTTTTCCACCTCCCGTGCACCACGCCTCCTCTCTGCTCCCGTGCCCGGCAGCTCCCCGAGGTCTTCGAAGGTATGCCTCCGCGGCCCCCAGTGGGCCTCTGCAGCCGCGGCACCCCCCCGCGGGCCTCTGCAGGGGCCAAACACCTCCAGACCCAGACTCCTCCTCCTCGTCGTTCTCCTCCGTCGCGACCCATTCTACTCCTCCTCCTCCTCCTCCTCCTCCTCCTCCTCCTCTTCCTCCTCCTTTTCGTCGTTCTCCTCCATCGCGACCCATTCTACTCCTCCTCCTCCTCCTCCTCCTCCTCTTCCTCCTCCTCCCCCTCCTCCTCCTCCCTCCTCCTCCCTGCTCCCTGCTCCTTCCCCCCCCCTGTCCTCGGAGCGCAGTGGTCACCGCCGCCGTGGCGCCGATGGCAGGTCGCAGCACGCACATGGGGATCCTCGGCGCCGGAGGCCGTCGCTGCCTCACGCCCACCCCTGGGACACCCGACGCGTAACTGAGCAGGGACCGACCATCCCGGCATTCCTGTATGAAGGAGCCCCAGGACACACAAATAAATACACACTAATAAAAAGATTCCCCATATTTTCCCATATTTTCTGGGTTTCTGTCTTCCCCCCCACTTCCCATATTTTCCCATATTTTCCTGGGGATCGACGATCAATTGTGTCTGTGTGTTTCTTTCCCTCCTGACTGTGGTCCTACCACGAAATGTTCCTAGAACCCACAAGTGTTCGAAGGACAAAAACAATATTCTTAGAACATGAGCCGCTGTGGTAAAACAAGACGGACTCCGCCGGCAATGCTCTAAGAACATGTCGCGGAAACCACAAAGGGTTCTTAGAACATTCTTCGGTAGGGCTATAGGCACGCTAAGAAGCTTCGCCAGTGCTTGACGTAAGGAAACAAAGGCGCCATGGCGTCGCCGGCTGCGGCTTCCGAAAGGCCCTCGACACTCGGCGCCTGCGGGGCGGGGTCATCGACTTATCCAGATCCACCGCCTGGATAAACCATGACCCAGGAACCCAGCGGGCGGTGGATACGGATATGGATATGGACATGTACATGTGTTGTGTACATTTCTATACTTGTATCTATATATGTGTATACACACTAGACCCACGCGCTCGCGCTTCGCGCGCGCTGAGGTTCTAGCGCAGAGCGTGGCAACGCTGGGTGTCATCAAATACCGCGCCCAGGGGGCCCAGGACAGCTTCCAAATCGGAGCTCTCGAAGGCCTCCTGGGGTGAGGACAGAAAGAACGCTTAGCCTGCGAACCCTTAGCCGGGAGAAATGAAGCTAGGGGGAGTTTGAAGGGGTTCGCAGGCGGACCCCCAGGGATGATGAAAAGCGCGCGTAGAATGCGATCCGGTAGTCGGGAGAAATGACGTTTGGGGAGATCGAAGGGGCTGGCAGCCGCAGCACCAAATCCAATAGCCCTCTTCTGGGGTGAAAAATGGCGATGTCGCAAGGAACATCTGAAAAGCTTTGTAACCTACTCAACATCGTTTTTTAGAGCAGCAAGAAGCGTTTCGCTTGAGACATCGTCCAAACCTGTTTTTCGTTGTTATGAATTTAGCGTAGCTTCCAACATGGTGCTCTCGCCTGAGGCATCCTCCAACAGATGATCTGATCGCAACGCCGCCTTTCACGAACACAAGCGGTTCGTTTGAGACATCCTCCGAAAAATGAGATCCTGGAGGATCTATAGTTCAACGTCGTGTTCAAACAATATCTCGCTAGAAACATCCTCAAGCAGTGGGACGTTGTGAACATCGTGTTGAGATCGTTCTTACAATATCGGAAGACGGTCCGCAAGAGACCGACATTGCCCAAACATGACCGCAAGAACTTCCTCACGATTGTCGAGAATTGTGACCTTGCTAGATGCATCCTCAAACAAATAGTCTCCAACATCGCATGTTGGACATGCATGCTCACCAACATTGCGATGGTGCTCGGGACACTCTTGGAAGGCCTCAAGACTGCCCCTCATAGCCCCGCATTATTGCGCCAGCACGCCCTAACCCGCCCCTGAAAAATACGATGCCGCTAGAGACGTCCTCGAACACATGAAATGTTGACGACATCGCTCTTGCCAAAAACATAACTTCGTGACGGACATCCTCACACACGTGAATATGTTGTTGACGTCGTCTTGGTCTCGGTCTGGCCCACCATGGCGATGCCGCCAGGGGCATCGTCAAACGAATGTAGCGTTGTCGACATCGCGTTTGTCCAAACATGCAACTTCGCAGGGTACATCCTAACTCACATGAAATACTACCGACGTCGTCGTGGTCTCGGTCTTGCCAGACATATCGATTTCGTTCGGGGAATCTTCAACACATGGCATGTTGCCGACATCGTCGTTGTATCGTTCTTGCCCGACATAGCGATTTCGCCAAGAACATCCTCAAACAATTGAGATACTGTCGACGCCGTCTTGGTGTCGCTCCAAGGCGGCCCACGAAACTCCCAGACCGACTCCAAGGCTGCCCAAGAGGGTCCGAAGACGGCCGAGGGTCCCCCTCACGACTGTCCAAGAGGACCCAACAACTCGCCAAACATGCGAAACGGGCGAGGGGACGAGAAGCACTCGGAGGAGGACAAACGGACAAGCCAACGACCTCGCGCCATCAAAACGTAAGTTGCGCGTTTCGTCCCCGTGCCCAGCAGGCCGGTCAGCCGAACTGGCTTTTTTCGCTCAAGGTATCCAAGACATTGAGGCATCGAAGGCCTCAAGACAACCCAACACATCCAACACAACCAAACAGTACGCCCCAACACAATCCACACGCCCGCTTCCGCCCAACAAGTTGCGATCTCGCCAGAGATACCCTAACCACAATAAAGGCTGTCGGCATCGCTCTTGTCAAACCTACGATGTCACTAGAGGCAGCCTCACAACAATGAGATGGTATCGAAATAGTATTGGTCGCAGCCTCGCCCCAAGGTTCGATTTCACAAGGGGCATCCTCTCGCAACTGAGATGCCGTTGACATCGCAACTGGCGATTTCGCTGGTGGCATCCCTCACACACATGAGATGCTGTTAACGTCGTCGGTGCCTCGGTCTTGCCCAGCGTGGCGATTTCGATAGGGAGAGTATCAAGACATGACAGGTTGTCGACATCGTCTTGGTATCGCTCTTGCCCCACATGACGATTTCGCTAGGGACATCCTCACACAACCGAGACGTTGTCAACGTCGTCTTGGTGTCGCTCCAACGCGGCACACGAGGCTCCCAAACGGATCCTAAGGCGGCTCAAGAGGGCCTGAAAACGGCCCGAACGCCTCCCAAGACTGCCCAAGACGGCCCCAAGGCTGCCCAAGGATGCGAGAAGGCCATGGTGCAGAGAGGACGCGCAGAGGAGAACACACTGATAAGCCAACTAAGCTGCGATTTCCGTCCGTGCCAAGCGATCAATGGGACGCACAAAGGCACACCAGGACTACATGTTCTCCTTGCAGGCGCGCGTCCGACCCGAACCTGTAGCATTCCCATCTTGTAGTGTATCGTTTCCCGAGCGGTGTGGACAGAAAGCGCCCGCCACGACGCATGCACTGCTAGAAGATTTCTCGCTGCGCGCGTCGCCCCCGGGGGGGGGGGGGGGGGGGGGGGGGGGCGACGCACGCCTAGCAGAAGTGTGCTGGGGTGACGCCGAATCTCAAGGGGCCTCTCGGGCGCATCTTTAGGGCCTCTGGGGCTTCTTGGGAGCTTCTTGGACTGTCCTCGGGCGCTCGTGGCCCGTCTGACGCCTCGGGCGGCCACCTTCAGGGGGGTACTGGGCCGTCCCAGGGCCCTCTTAGGGCCCTCTCGGGATTCTCCTGGGCGCTGTTGGAGCCGTCTTGGAGCTCTCTGGGGCCTGGGGCCAGTAGGGCGCCTTCTAGAAGCCTGGAAACATCGATAACTCCGAGCGCGTAGGGTTCTACGTTGATTTTGCAGTGCTTTGGCCTCTGAAGGGTCTCTTGGAAGCCGCTCGGGGGCCTCTTGATAACATCTCGGGGCCTATTGGAACAGTCGTGGAAGTGCTTCGTGGTCGGTGATGGCGCCTCGGAGAGTCATGACGAGAGGAAAAGGGCGCATCGGCCCAAAAATCATGGACTCACTGCTCGTCTTGCGGCTCTTTGGGGGCCCGTTTCGGCCGTCTTGGGCGCCTCTTGGGGCCTCTTAGGCCGTCTTGGGCCGATCTAGGGGACCTCTGAGGTCGTCAAGGACAGTACGAGGACAACAAGCGATTGATGTTTGCCTGTCGGGGCCATCTTGGAGAACCTTTTGAAGGGGTCGTCAAGCATCTTGGACGCCTCAGGGGCCGCTCGAGACGCCTCGTCCGTCGGACACCCCTGGAGGCCGCCTTGAGGGTGGTTCAAACCCGTGGCCCCCAGGACCCTAGGCCCGGTCCCCCGTTATATGTCTACATGGCCATACACATACACACATACATAGATATAGACATACATGCATATACATATATACATATCTGTACATACATATATATTTATACATATATATATATGTGTAACTATAGATGCACATATTCTCGCGCCCCAAAGGAGATCCATCGCCTGCGGAGGTCCCCGAAGGTCGATCTCCCAGGTGGTTATGAGCAAAACTCCGAGTGGGAGCGCCGACGGTGTCGCGCTTTCTCGTGGCGATCTGGGGTGCCTTTGGCAGGCTTATCGGCCTCTCGGGGCCACGGCCTGGTTGCCCTCGAAACTCAAGGCAGGGCTTCTCACCAGGGGGGTGGGGGGCGGGGTCAGGGGCCGATTCTCGACCCCTGGCCACCCCTCGACGGGCACCTGCCGCACATTCCGCGCGGCAGGTGCCGCGCTGCTGCGGCCGCCGCCGCGGCCGCAGCGGCGGCCACCGTCGAGGCTCCAATGGGGGCCGCATCGCGGAGGCACCTCCCGCGCGGAAGGTGCCGTCGCGATGCGGCCGCGGTGGCCGCCGCTGCGGCCTGGATGGCGGCCGCCGCTGCGGCCGTGGCAGCGCGCCAACGCCGCGCGGCAGGTGCAGAAGGGGCAGATCGAAAGTCATGGGGGCGCGCCCCTCCTCGCGGATCGAACCTCTAGGTGGCGACATCCGGAACCAACCCCCACCAACCATGGGTTCTCCAGAATCGATAGGAGGCGGGTGTAGGGTTCAGAATCCGCAACGTGTTCGACGAATTCCGAACCCTATTCCCGCCGTCCATCGAGTTGCCAGAATCGTTGATCGCGGCGGGTAGGGTTAAGGCTTCGCCGCCGAACTTCGAGGATCGGATCTTTGTTCGCCGTTTTCGGCCTCGGGAGCCGTGTTCTGCTTCAGGACAACAACACAGACTGCCCAGGATGAAAAGCCAGCCCTCGGGAGCCTAGGTGGTGACCAACTCGAGACATCGGATGTCTGGGTCTCAAACCTCTACGCGAAATGCCTAGCGTCTGTGGCTCTGCTCCA